GTTCTCATGCGAGCGCTTTGGCTCTCGCGGCTGGCAAGACCTGACATCAGCTTCATCGTTGGTCGTCTTACCACTATGGTGACCAGAGTGTCGAGATTCGAGGACAGGCAATTGCATAGATGCATTTGCTATCTTCATCACAGTCGAGACAAGGTCCTAGTCGGACACCTCGATCATGAGCATGAACATGAAGTATCAATAGAGGTTTACACGGACAGCGACTTTGCCGCTTGCCCTCATAGCGCCAAGAGTACTGCAATGTACCCACTGTACTGGTGCAGCCGAAAGCAGTCCAGCGTCGCAAGGAGCACGCCGGAAGCAGAGCTCATTGCGATGTCGACAGCGATGTTTACCGAGGTGTTCAATGTTCAAACCACGTTGGAACACCTTATGCAGCGACAGGTGCCTGTAAACTATAGACAGGACAACCAGGCTGTGGTGCAGATTTGGGAACCGGATATTCTGCAAAATTGCGCCATGCACCGCGGGTGCACAGAGTCAATGTAAGCTCCGTTCACGAGGTTCTCACTGCTGAACATGCCCATGCAGTTTGGTATACACAGACCACGGAGCAAATTGCAAATGGCCTAACGAAGGTGATCACTCCTGCCGAATGGCCGGCTATGTTGGAGCAGCTGTGCATTTTCGACTTTTCCGTAAACTCCGAAACATGAACTGGTATGTTTTCTTGGAATTGCCCATGCTCCGGCGTGATGCTTTGGTTCCGGGAATCTGACACATTGCACGTACAGAACGAGGGGGGAGTTGATGGAATGCATGTAAAGCATAGCATTCTTTGACGTCTTCTCATGCAATATGTGTCACTCATCATTTTGCTTACGCGACTTTGTATTTTGGCTCAAGCACTGCGGAAAAAAGGCGTTTGCGCGTGGTGCTTGCCGTTGCTACACTAAACTACCAACTTTGGCTGTGGTTGGTGAGTTTAACTTTGCAACCTTTGATTGTGGTTCGACTGCAGGCAAACTTTGCCCATGTGGGAAACATTTGCTTTGTGTGCGGCAGCATCCTCTTTGTCATCGATGGACGGAACGGTGCGACGAAGACTTCCATCACCACGGGAAGCTCCGAGCTACGTTTGCGCAGCCTGCGCGCGACGGCAAAGACATGCACCGCAGCCGGAACAGCCGCGGTTGCTCCTGGGATTTATCAGTTGGAGACTTCTGCAAGTCGTCGGTATACAAACAACATCGCTAATTAAATGGTTCCGGCGGATCTGTCAGTGAACCAGCATCGTTTACCTCTGGATATCTATACTATCAATCTAGATCATCTATAGATCCTATTGAGTCATCTATATATATTATATATACACTTAGTTCAGATAAGATGGCATTGCTCAAAAATGTGGTGGAGCCATCCACTCCTGCCCGACCAGCGACAGCCATATCAGCGGTAGATGGTGAGTGCCATCTACTCTGAACAAAAACAGAAGCGGTCGGAGCCGGCGCCATCTATTATGAACCTCGTTTTTCTTTAACAAAAAACAACGGGAACAGCCACATGGTAAAGCAATATTGCCATCTACTCTGAACTTAGAGTATATATCGTCTATGGACTCAGACATCCGATTGCCTCCTTTTGTTGGATGTCTCTGTAATCGTACAAATCCCAGAATACCTCACCCCAAATGGCCGGTCCAAACAACATGTGGTTCTTTTTGTTGGCCCGTCCATCGTTTCAGCCCGTGGATGGACCGGGCCACGTACGGCCACGTGGCCCCCGGACCGGTGCGACGGAACACGGGCGAGTCCTCGACCCAGCGAACTGGGCGGTTCCACCACTCCTCGTCAGGTGGACGTGTAGGACGTGGCCCTGGCAAGCGCGGTTCCCATGCGGCCCTGGCAGGCGCCTGGCGACCCTGCTTTGATTGGTGTCAGTGTTTTTCTGAAATCAGAAAGCACCTTTGTATGGCCGGAAGATGGCCACATCTCCCATCAGGGAGAATGTTCGTCGCCGTTTGGCCACAGAGCAACAGATTCTGTTGGGAGGCACGTGCCGATTTTGAGATAAACCCATGGGTTGAGTAGTTCGTCCCAGGTGTTCAGGAAACACCGGAAATTGATGCATGTTTTTACAGGTCGCTCAGGGCTCGCGGGTAAAACAGAAGTTATGCATTTGCTTTCTACATATTGTATCATATTGTAATTATTGATCCTTAGGTGTGCATTACATCCAGCTTCGTATCTGCCCGCTAGCACAGGAGGTTCAGCCCTCAGCGCAACGTTTTAAACTTGCCCTTGGAGTCCAGTTTCTGATGCAAATTGGATCCAAGTGGCGTTTTGTTGCTACAGGAGGTTTCCCCTCAGCTCGAGGTTACTTTGCCCAGACCAGTTGCCTATGCAAATTGGATCCATGTGGCGCTTTTACGTACCTTGACTTAGGTCCATGGGAGTCTTTTGTTGGTAGATCGGCTGTGGGCCGCCAGACTTCGCGTGCAATGGACTACTTCAGCCACATCAGGGTTCTGTTCATCCCTGGTGGGGCTTCCACTACATTCAGAGTAGAACGACCTCAGAGGAGCTACAGCTAGGGAGGGAGCCCTGGTTTTGCTCAGCTTACAAGGTGATGTGTATGTTCTCGAACTGGGCGAATCCCTTTCTGCGGGATATGTTTGACTGTTTCCCGGTTCCTAGCATGGCTCAATGAAAGTTGCAGGACATTCCATGAACCACGGGAAACCGGATGCTTTGAATGCTCCGACCAAAAAGACACCCATGCAGTGCATTGCAGGAACCTAAACCTGCCTGGATGAACTCGGAAATGCTTGAATTATCTTGAGAGGAGAATTGTACTCATCGAAATTCAAAGAGCTGAGCGTCAGAATGTCCACGCGTGACCATTCCCAATCACGTCCAACACTGCATTCTGAGTGCTCGCAGGTAGGTGCAGAGTCCAACCCCCATGGTTAGGTCCTATATATAGTTGGTCCAGCTTCACAGATCGTTCAGATTGGCATGCCAAAGGGAGCGCAAAACGAGCGGCAGACACGTCACTTTCCGGGGTATATAGCCGAGAAAGAATTTGTTTCTGCCGTTGGTGACCAGCAATTGAACACAAGCATTTACTCCCTGGCTCAAGAACGGATCATGACAATGTCGTAGTTTCTTGCTGCATCGGCGAATCCCTGGCTCCGCACAAAGTCAGCTGATCGCGTACCAGGTTTGGTGTTCTACTTTGAACATGACATGGAAGCCCTCTTTGGCTTAGGACGCTCTATAAGCTGGGGCACGTGTTTCACTCGGACTTCTCTGTTTGTTTGTTGGAACTCGGTGCGAGACCTACTGATTACTGATTAGACCACATGTTGAGCTGGAATGAAGTAAGTTACGTCACATTAAAGACATGCTTGTAAGGTATACGGTTTTCTCTTTAAGTATACATTTATATTTGAAGGACATGGCTCGATGAGTAAAAAACCTGTTTCGATGTGTGTCAATCTTCGGTCAGAGCTTCCATCCGATAGGAAATCCGTAATTCGTTGGCTCAGAGGAGCTGCCTGAAGGTAATGATGTCATGCTATATATATATATAATATATATATATATATACCCTCCCTCCAATAAGCATGGTTTCGTGGATGGCACCACCCCCACGAACATGTTGGCCCATGATTCTGTAACCAGGGGAGTGTATTTGCAGTAGTTTGAGAATAGATGGCACTGGCACCCGAAAAGGATTTTTAGACGAGGTCTACAATATAGACTACCTTTGGGGATCGTGCCGTCTATTCTGAAACCAGACTATATGTGTTTCAAATTTCAAATGATGTTGGCAGCATCTCAACGACCATCCTTCAGCCGTATTTGCAATTAACAGCCTCTCAACAAACTGCTAGGGAAAGCTTGGAGAGAAGAGAACGCTTGGCCAAAGATAAATATCTCCATACGGAAACTACAAAACTCAGATTGATTCCAGCATATTCCAGCTTCATTTTTCACTGACCAAGTGGCTTCCACCTCAGATAGAAGAACTTGACATCTTCCGTGGCTCGTTCATACTGCGAGATGGACTCCGGGCGATGCATCCATGCAATCCATTGACACCGGAGGTCGGGGCGTCCACCTTTCCTGGTCCGGAGGTCGACCGAATCCCTGGGACCGGCACGTGAGCGGGAGGCCGAAGCAAGTCTTGGTTCGGATGCAAAGCAATACCCTATGGATCCACATACCTTCTCAGGTTCGGTATGACTGGGCGCCAGCTGGCACCTACAGTCTCCAATCACCTTCTCAGGTTCGGTATGTGGATCCATAGGGATAGAGAACATGTCCACTCCCTAAGCCAGACACGACCTGTGTGGGACCGATTGACCGATTGACCAGGCCAGGGGTGGTTGACCTGGGGCCGATGTGGGTCATGGCACCCAGAGCCCCTTTCGCCAGGGTAGGTTGACCTCCTGTATAGGTCGTCCATTCTCTTTATTTTCACTTTTGACCCACAGCCATACATACGCAATACATGGATAGTGTGTGGGTATAACATGTGGTTGTTCTTGTGTTCTACACCTTCTGGCTACTTCAGAATGAACATATCCCCTAGAGCTCCAAGTACCTCCTCTCAAAACCAGACGGCCGCGACCCGCCCTGGATCAGACTTTGCAAGCTGCTTCGGGCAGACAAGAAGACCCTATATCAGTAGCCTTCGGGCAGGCATCCCCCTGTGCATCTTCACTAGCAAATGAGCAGCCATAATAGAGGGGAGCAATTAGTAGTAAACGACTACTACCTCATAATACAACAAATTGGAATGACCGGGTTGTAATTGGAATGACCTGGTTGTTGTATTTTTAATCATGAGTAAACAACACAATACTTGTTCGATGGATAAACAGGCGATGAACAATGTAGGGAACAACAGGGCCAATTCACATGTTCCAGATCCGATTCACACAGAACTTCACAAAGCTTCTCGGGGTTTTGGGGAGAGAGACAGAGGCGACAGAGGTTTTAGTGATCGTCATGTGCCATGCTGAGCCTTCAGACGAGCAAAGGATTCTCAGAAAGCTCAAAAACCTCACAGCAACACAAGGGAGCAGGTCGCAGATGGTCGCAGGTAGCACTCCCAGCCCCTCCCAGCCCCCTCCCAAAAGAAGAAACACCACTGCTTGCGGCTTGCCATGGGACTTCTCGTGGGGTTCTACCCACCGAACCTCTATTTTCTGGGCAGTTTCTTGGAGACATCTTTCGATCGCCAAGCGAAGTATCGCTAAGTTCCTTGTGTTGGTGTTGGTTTTGGCACCGAAACAAGCGGGAATGCACTGACTGACAAAGGTCCGCTGGATGTCCATGGATGTCCATGGCTAATCTTAGTATTTGTATACCCGCCGTGTAGACCAGATTCTATGTACCCAAAGATAAACGCCATATTAATATAGACCACCGTGTATAATTAATATGGACCCAAAGATGGACGGTTTGGCAGACCGATGGAGTGTTTGCAGACCGATGGTGTGCACCAGGTTCTATGTGGATTGTTTTCAAGTGGTGTATAATAAGTATAGGCATTTTGAGTTTCATTGCGACTTGTTTTGATCCACGCTTCTCAAGTTCCGACTTGGAATTCTTCCAGAACCTTGTCAATGGCTCTTCAACACGTGAAGTTGTGACAACAACTTCCCGTTTTGAAGTCGCAACAGGAAGCTACTAGGGACTCCTGGCAACTAGGACTAGGAGCGATCGGACGCGACTCGAACGGGGTTCCTGGCCTTACCACTAGGAGCAATGTTCGCTACTAGGAACAACTGCATCGCTTCTAGTAACTAAGTGCCTTACTAGTAGTAACAAGGACGCTACGAACGGGGCTCCTGGCCTTACTACTAGGAACAATGTAAGCTTCGAACGTAACAAGTGCATCGCTGAAGCTCTCTTAATCACATCTTTTTTTTACGGGGTGCAAAGACGTGGTGTTTCGGACCTCGTGGTGTTTCTCGGTGGACCTCGTGGGCTATCGGCGAGGCTTGCTGTACCTCCTCGGAAGCATTTGCTACACACTGGCCGCCTTTTTGGTGGACGTCGACGCAGGGCGGAAAAGCAGCCGTTTTGGGGCCTGTTGCAGTTGGAAAGGTCAAGCAGATCATGAATCATAATAGAAGATCAATAAGGGCAGCCACTGAAGTAGAAGAATGAATTCCAGCCAGATGCTGGGTTTAACAATTTAACATTGAGGCTTTCAATCCCATGATGACAAAGTGAGACACCAACACACCTACCCCAAAACACTCCATGTATAGCATATAAACCTATACATTGACCCCTGAAACCATTCATGGAGTGTTTGGGCGCTACTCAAGGTAGACCTCGTCCATGTGGGAAACATTTGCTTCATTTGTGGCAGCATCCTCTTCGTGATCGATGGACGCAACAACGCGATGGCTTCCGCCACAGCACTGAACAGCGCGAGCACGTCCTCCGCTAAAGTGGCACCAGTGGTTGCTCAGTGCCCCGAGGCCACAACCTCGAGGGATTGGGTAATTGGTCTTCCTGAGCTTGATGGTGCAAAAGTGGTGGCTCCTGAGACCACCCACTACCCAGCCATCCCAGAAAGCCCAGTCCGTCTTCATGAGCATGCTTCCTAGAAAGAGTTTGGTGCCAACAGATGAAGGGCCATTCAGAAGGACCGTTCAGGTCCTATCTTGAGATTTCTCAGCTTACGCTTTTAACTGAACTTGGTTCACATGTGACTCTGGCTCGATTTGAGTCCGTTCTTGGAGGATTCCAAGCTATGCAAGCGCGGTTTCTTTTTTTCAAGCGCTGCATCGTTCTACCGGCCGCTGTGACCGGTCGAGTCTTTCGCCGGTGGCGACCGACCAATTGGTGGCGTCGATGAGGTCGGCAGGTCTGACTGGTGAGCGAGCTAATCAATAAACACATACCAGGACCTTCAGTTCGTGACCTCTTTGGAGTCTCTGTTTGTGACCTCTTTAGGGACTAAGTGACCTCATTCTACGATCTCAAAAAGTCACTTTGAAGGTCCTGGTACATAGGCAAGATAATCAACATCTCACAACATTTCTAGATTGTGGTGTGAACGTATCTCATTTGATATACCATGTTTATATATGGTTCTGTCCCTGAGCACAGCACGCAACCTGCAACGGCACCTGCGGAAGAACGAACTACTAGAGCATTCCTCTGCACCTGCGTTTCGGAGGCCGATTCGGGACCGATCCCCAGACCTCCACGTTTGGCATGGCCCACGTTGTGTGGGGCGTGAAAACGCACGCACAGCCCTGGGCGACCGGAGAACCCCCAAACGAAACAGCGACGCCCAGTCTAGTGCCCAGTCTGGGGTGGTTTCTGTTTATAAATGTCCCCTCACCATCCCTCACCTCACCATGTGACCATCCAATCACTTGGGTGCTGAGTCAGAGGACGTTGGGAAACAGGTCGCACGGTGGGTGCGGGGGTCTCGGGTTCTCGGGTTCTCGGGTCTCCATCCGAGACTTAGAGACTCCATCAATCACAGACAGTGGCATCAGTGGCACATCATACATGTGTATGCTGTATACACAGTTGCCAATAGCTTTGCGGATCTTTGCGGCGTCATGTCTAGTTATTGTTTCATCCTTAAACTATGCGATGTTGAATTCAACAGAAACCGATGTGCTGAGCCGCTGAGTCTCGCCTCCGCGGAGCCGCTGCAAGGCATCGCGGACGCAGAACGGACGCTTTCGAAGGGCCTGCGAGCGAGAAAAAGGGCCGGGAGCTGCGAGCGAGCCTGCGGAGTGGAAGGTGGGTTCTTTTTCTGTGGGGTAGATTAACATGCATATGAACAACAACACTCCAAGTAGTTATATAGGGTCCCATAATGAGTTCGTCGAGCTTTCTGGGATGTTGAGGTTTTTGTTGGCGCTCCATGTTGTTCATTTGACCTGAAGTCCACCAGAACCCCAGACCTTCCCGGCTCTTCTTGCCCTGAGGGGACCGAGCCCAAAGAGCCCATGGCCAAAGCTCCTGGGCGATGAGACGTGCTTCAGGCTCGGATGCCAGAACGGATAAACACCCAGACCTTCCTTGTACCTAGAGCCCATTTGACCTCTGTTTTCATAGGAAAAGACTGTATTTTGAGTGTTTGGTGGTCCAAAATAGAGGTCACTCAGGTTCTATAGGTATGCCATCTTCACCGATCAGTTGGGGTGGTGGCAGGGGGTGAATGGGGCGGCAGAACGCAGTCCCATCGAGTGTTTGGGACAGGTACACATCCCCGGTGACGTCCCCTGGTGCTGGTGGAAGGTACGTGGACGCTCATGGGTCCAAACTCCAAACCCCTGCTTTGGGTTGACTTCTGGGGTACTTCTGGGCATGTTCACGGTGTTTTGGTTGAAACGTTCGACTGCGCGCAGCTGCCCGCTGGGTTGCGCTAGTTGGAACGGAGTCAGCCAGGCTGGAGATAGCCTGGCATGCTTTCTTGAATCTACTGGAACTGGATCTGGAACTGGATCTCCTCCCCCCCAACAAAAATATGAATTCATGGAAGGAATTGACATGACCACTGGAACTGGATCTAGAACTGGAACACGAACTCTCTCAGGGCCTCACGGATCTCCTCCAATTGGAGGGTGGTGAAACCGGCCGCCGACAGCGACCGGTCAAAGCCTCCCAGGACCTCCTCGAAGAGGAGGGGTCGATGCATGTCGCAGCCGGCCGTCGGGGCCGCCGAGTGAGAGATGGACATTCTCGTCACCCGAGTGACGAGAGGGCCGTCCGAAGGGTGGATCCGAAACAAAGTTAAAAAGATGTAAAAAGCATTGCTAGGGTCGGGTGGATGTTCCAAATTGGTAGGATAGTGATGGTGATGTTGTTGCTAATATGATATCAGCTATGTATTTTGAATCAGTATTCAATCCCTAGGGTTCCAACTACCTTCTGAGAAGGTGGTTGGTGCGGGTGCCAGGGGGGGTTTCCTACCCTGTGAGATCTTGTGAGGATATCTTTGGAACCCCAAACCATAAATCCCTCCGCCGTCTGTGACCCAGAATGCGAGCGAATGGTCGCTCGGAGACCCTCTTCCCATACGCGGGCATTGGTCTAGCGAATGGTGCAGCGCTGCGCTCGTCCATCCGCACTGCATGATCAAAGACATGCCTTTGATTCAATGTAATGCATATGGTTCCAACCTTTCATTCATGATAAAAAGATGTCTTCAAGGTTTGTGATGCCTTTGATTCATGATCAAGGTTCCATGCATGGTTCCAGGCATTAAGGTAATCAATGTTCATGTCTGTATTGTTGCAGACTCCAACTTGGCCCAACTGCATGGCATATCACGATGACAAGGTTTTTTAGTTGGCCATACCTTGGATGTCTCCAAGCTGTGACATGTATTTGTATATAAGTGTATGTATATTGTATATATATATATATATGTTTATTTATTTATTTATTTATGTGTCCACAGTTGTGTCCACATAATATGTCCGCATGAGTGTCGTCTACATGAGTGTCTAAACATATATGTCCCCTATGATGTATTGTCCCAGTCCAGGGACTCCCAGAGACTCCCATGGACTCCCATGGACTCCGTGTCACCGCCGCCTTCCAAGGCCACCTTCCATCAACCCACGAGTCCCATAAGTCCCACACCGAGTCCTCCCAGTCGACTGAAACGCCCCTCGGAGACGCATCGGGAGCAAGAAGGGATCCCCCAAATCCCCCTCGGCTTTGTGTCCTGGGACCCAAAAAGAATGTAGGGCATTTTGGGCTGTTTTGAGGTTAAGTTTATAGTTATATGTTAGAAGAAGGAATCTAATTGAACTAGCTTTAAAAAATCACAGCCCTGTTGAAGGCCCTGTTGTAACAATGTGCGGTCAGACCGCAGGTTTGTGTTCAAGCAACCACTTAATTGAAGACACTGACTGACTGACTGACTGAGCCCGTGAACTGGAGCTCCGAGCCCGTTCGCTTTGGTCCTATCGAGATCTATCGAGGGAGGGGAACGATCCGAGCCCGTTGGATGCAGATGATGATGATGATGATGATGATGATGATGATGATGATGATGATGCAGGTGGTTGGTCTTTGGAAACGATGGAACGATGAGTAGCGAAGACAAATATGAACTGCGAACCAAGAATTACTATTGAACCAATATGGGGCGAAAACCGGCCAATGGGTTTTGGTTTCCAGGGGGTCTTTGGGAGGTCTGAAAATGACAATTTCACATTCACTGCTTCAATGGTGTAAAGGTTTTTCGAGGCAGTGCAACAAGTCCATGATGTGACCTCTATTTTGGACCACCAACCACTCAAATATGGTCTTTTCCTATCATAGCAGAGGTTACATGGGGTCTAGGTGTGTGTATGTATGTATTATTAACCGCCTTCTCAGGATTAGGTTGGTGTGTGTGTGTGTGTGTGTTAAAATCGGGAGACCCCTGTTGGACCCCTTGGAAGCAGGAAAATAGACCACAACCCATTGGTGGAGGGCTTCCCAGTTTCCCTGTAGGCCCTATAGAAACACAAGCCAAGGTGTAGGATGGATTCTCCAAACAGTAATCAGTGTCAGTGAGCAGCCTGAGGTGTTTTAGTCCTTTTACTTGCCCCTTTTCTTGTCGTAGGTGACTCCATGATTCAATCTTCACATCATAACTCATGTGGTTATACTTGTGAATGCGAGGGAGCTGGATTTTGGTCGGGGGTGGTTTTGACAGGCCGAAAGGCCTTGGTTCCCAATGCCATTTGACTCCCAAAATCTCCAGGGCCCCGTGGGTTTAACCTGTTTATAAAAACGACTGTGCTGCTCGTGGTTGAGATGCTGCATGGTCTGCTGGGTTCGGGAAACTATCTTTGAGGATTCCCATTCAAAAATAGATACCTGGAGCCTCAAACAACCACTAGATTCTGCTTGATTTGCTTTTCTACAATGTTTTATTATGTTTAATTCAATGCCTAAAGATTTACCAAAGAACAACCTCCGAGTCGATGAGGTTTATTCACCCAAAACTACCAAACATCCATAAGCATCCTAGACTATTTCCCAAAATTGTCAAAATAACGTCTCAAGCAAAACATTGGTCCAACAATTTTACTTTTTCCAGCATCCTACTGAGTTCTGGATGAAGTCAGTACAGTGAAGATCTATTTCCTCAACATTCGGAATTTCCTAAGAAGTTACTTTCTTAAAATTTTATTTGGAAAATACAACCTGGACCTTCAAAGATGACATTAACCTCAATTCTAGCAACCTGGACCCCACAAGTCTGGCCCCCAATGACGTGACGAGTCGGTCAACGCACGGGACCATCACGAAGAGTTCGTTCCTGTTCCTGGCATTGGTGATTGGCCCAAGAATCTATTCATCTATGGAGGAATCGGGAGGAAGAGTGATCTATGGTGATCTGGTGGTGATCTATTCATCTATGGGAGTGTATCTGGAATAGTTCAGACATGTTCAGACAAGGAAAGCGAACCCATCAGATCTTTTGTTCAGATCCTGTGGTCAAAACTCGAAGCAACCATCCTCAAAGCTGGTTTGGGGAGCCACAAATCCATACCCTCCGTGGGACTGGTACACTTACCCATCACTTGGTGGTTGACCTGATTCCAGTCTGGTCGTGTGTGTGATATGGGTGTGTATTCAGATAGGGAGACCAAGGAAAATAGACCAGTCTACCCAGCCAGGGGCGATTTAATGAAAACATATATCCAGACAGATGGTGTCTCCCTATTCAAGTACAATACCCAGACACTCCATGTACAGAATATTTGGCTACATTGGGGTGGTGCCAGAGGGGTCAATGTAACGTAGCTCAATATTCCATAATATTCCATACATGGGGTGTTTGGGATATGAACGAAATCGTCTCCAACGAAATCGGTGCCGCACATCGTCAGGCACCGGCTCTGCTGGCTTTGCGTGTGTGGAGCTACCCACGCTGCGG